GCGCCCAGTGGGGCCACCGACCGACCAGGTACCACGATTGAGGAGGAGGAGGAGGAGGAGGAGGAGGAGGAGGAGGAGGAGGAGGATCAGTGTAAACCCAAGAGTCACCAATGATGTTGGAATACGGTTCATTTCCACAGAGGAACCTGCCTTGTTGGAAGGCAACCGTGACAAGACATTATTCTCGGTATTCCAACGCCACGGATGAACCTGGCTGTTGTGTCTTGACGATCCCGAATCGTGCCAGAACGCCATTCCTTGGACCTCAACTCCACGAATCATCGTACCTGCTGCGCCCTCAAAATAGTGAATCCTCCCAAACCATTATTTCTAGTCGGCGCTAAAGCGAGAGCCACATATTGGAAAGGAACCGCCTTCAATCCGTGCGACTTTGCCAACGTTTAAAACGAATCTGCGTGGCGCTGAGGCGAGAGCCACATTTCGAAAACGACCTGGCCTCAATCAGTGAAACCCTTTGCACCTTTTTAGAACGAATGTGCTCGGCGCGAAGGCGAGAGCCACATTTCGGAAACGACCCGCCCTCACTCCGTCTTCAAAACCACCCGCCCTCAATCCGTGAAACTCTTGCAAATGTTAAAGACGCACGTGCGCGGCGCTAAGGCGAGAGCCACATTTCGAAAACCACCCGCCCTCGATTCCTGAAAATCCTTCATTGTTGAAAACGAAAGTGCGCGGCGCTAAGGCGAGAGCCGCATTTTGAAAACGGCCCGCCGTCAATCCGTGAAACTCTTGCAAATGTTGAAAACGTGTGTGCGCGGCGCCAAGGCGAGATCCACATGTTGCAGACGACCCGCCCTCCATCTGTCCATCTGTTGCTTAATTCTTAAGCTTGAGGCTCATAAGTGGTGAGGACGTCCCAGGCGAAACGCCCGGCCCGCCGTAAAAACTGGCCTCGGGGTGCGACAGGGATAAGTTATTTATAACGAGAGGGAAAGGAAGAGGAGGAGGAGGAGGAGGAGGAGGAGGAGGAGGAGGAGGAGGACGACCAGTGTAAACACAAGAGTCATCTGGAATGAACCCTCCCTCCAAGCTCCCTCTTCGCAGGCCCCTACAACAGTACATTTCCATTGGGGGAACTGCCTCGTTGGAAGACAACCGTTTGAAGATCCTGAAGCGTGCCAAAACATGGCCCCCAGGATTTCAACGCCTCTTATCAACCGGACTGCTGCTTCTTGACGATTCGGAACCGGAATCCGTGAATTCCATGCAAATTTTGAAAGCGAATGTGCGCGGCGCTGAGGCGAGAGCCACATCTTGAAAAGGAACTGCCCTCAATATTTAAGCTCTTGTGCTTTTTTAGAACGAATGTGTGCAGCGCTAAGGCGAGAGCTACATTTCGAAAACGACCCGCCCTCAATCCGTGAAGCTCTTGCTCATGTTGAAGAAGAATATGCGCGGCGCTAAGGCGAGAGCCACATCTTGAAAACCACCCGCCCTCAATCCATGAAGCTCTTAAATGTTAAAAACCAAAGTGCGCGGCGCTAAGGCGAGAACCACACCTTGAAAACGACCCGCCCTCAATCCGTGAAACTTGTTGCACATGTTGAAAACGAATGTACGCGGTGCTAAGGCGAGAGCCACATTTCGAAAAGTACCCGCCCTCAATCCGTGAAACTCTTGCAAATGTTGAAAGCGAATGTGCGCGGCGCTAAGGCGAGAGCCACATTTTGAAAACGGCCCGCCCTCCATCTGTGAAGCTGTTGTCACTTTTTAGCTTCAGAGTCATAGGTGGTGAGGAAGATTCAGACGAAACGCCTGGCCCGCCCAAGTTATCGACAAGGAGAAGGAATGGAGGAGGAAGAGGCGGAGGAGGAGGAGGAGGAGGAGGAGGAGGGAGGAGGGAGGAGGGAGGAGGAAGGAGGGAGGAGGGAGGAGGCGGGAGGGAGGAGGAAGAGGGAGGAGGGAGGAGGAGGGATGATAATAATCACACTAGCAAGAATAATAATAACGCTAATAATAGTATGAAGCAGAATAATAGTACTAAGAGTGATAAGACAAATGATATTGATACTATCTCTACGACGAAGAAGAATACGTAGACAAACATACGATGACGAATAATCATACCAGTAATAATAAGACTACTCAGACGAAGAAGACGAAGTCGAACACCAATTCTAATAGTAATATTTGTCATACGAGGGAGAAGCATAACATTACGAGTATCAGTAAGAAGCCGAATGCTTATATTCAGAACTAATACCATTACTACGGTTAGTGAGAATACTACGTTTCATAAATTTGATAATAAGAATCAGGATAATAAGACTGATATGGAGAATACTGATCATACTGCAGATGATAAGCAGTACTACGAACACACATACTTTTAATATTAGCAGCACTACGAATAATGATAACAAGACCAGTAAGACGAATCATACGAATACAACCAATCATATTACCAACACTAATACGTGCAAACGCACGAATAAGAATACTACTAATCACAATACTAAGAATAATACGGATGCGAAGAAACTTATACAACGGAAAGGATGGGGAGGAAGAGGAGGAGGAGGAGGCGGAGGCGGAGGAGGAGGAGGCGGAGGAGGAGGTGGTCGGGAAGGAGGAGGAGGAGCAGGAGCAGGGAGCAGGAAGCAGGGAGCAGGGAGCACGGAGCACCGAGCACGGAGCAGGGAGAGGAGGAGGAGGAAGAGGAGGAGGAGGAGAAGGAGGAGCAGGAGGAGGAGGAGGCGGAGGCGGAGGCGGGGGCGGAGGAGGAGGAGGGGGAGGAGGAGGAGGAGGAGGAGGAGGAGGAGGTGGCGGAGGCGGAGGAGAGGAGGAGGAGGCGGAGGAGGAGGAGGAGGAGGAAGAGGAAAAGGAGGAGGAGTAGAAGGAAGAGGATGATGATGATGATGATGATGATGATGATGATGATGATGATGATGATGATGATGATGAGGATGAGGATGAGGATGAGGATGAGGATGAGGATGAGGATAAGGATGAGGATGAGGATGAAAATGATGATGATGATGATGAGGATGAGGATGAGGATGAGGATTTGGATGATGATGATGATGATGATGATGATGATGAGGATGATGATGAGGATGAGGATGAGGATGTGGATGAGGATGAGGATGAGGATGAGGATGATGATGATGATGCTGATGATGATGTTGTTGTTGATGATGATGATGATGATGATGATGATGATGATGATGATGATGATGATGAGGATGAGGATGATGATGATGATGATGAGCAGGAGGAGGAGGAGGAGGAGGAGGAGGAGGAGGTTATGGATCGGAGGGCTAGAAGAAGGAGTGGCAGGGTCTGCTCCTCCGCCCCTTCCCCGGCCAGGTGCCCACCCAGCGAGCGACTCCCGAGTGCACGGCGCGGGCCTGCTGCGGGCTCCACGCGGGTTTGGCGTGGACTCGACGCGGGCGCGACATGGATTCGACGCGAATTCGACGAGTCTGACATGATTTCGGCGTGGATTCGACGCGGTCATGTGCGCGACGGGAGAGAGAGAGAGAGAGAGGGAGTCGACGCGGATTCGACGAGTCTGACATGATTTCGGCGTGGATTCGACGCGGTCATGTGCGCGACGGGAGAGAGAGAGAGAGAGAGAGAGAGAGAGAGGGAGAGAGAGGGAGGGAGTCGACGCGGATTCGACGAGTCCGACATGGATTCGGCGCGGATTCGACGCGGACAGGTGCGCGACGGGAGAGAGAGAGAGAGAGGGAGTCGACGCGGATTCGACGAGTCCGACATGGATTCGGCGCGGATTCGACGCGGACAGGTGCGCGACGGGAGAGAGAGAGAGAGAGAGAGAGAGAGCGAGAGCGAGAGAGAAGGCCACCCGAAGGGGCAACATGCAGGCAACCCGTTCAGTGAGGATGAGCGACTTTCCAAGGTTACCCTTGCGTCCTTCCCCTTCGGCGCATTCTTTCCTTTGCCGCTTTCGCTGGCCGCGTCCCGCTCGCAAAGCGCCGACCTTCCAGGGCCCTTACATCCTTGTTGGCGACCTAGTCTCTTTCTGACTCCCTCCTCGTCTAAGAGCTAGCAAGATGAAGGGGCTGCAGATGAGTTGTACCCCCCAGGTTCTGTGATAGTAAGTTTAACGAAACATTGAACTGAATGGGTGAGAGCGAGAGTAGTGGCCCGTCGTGGCGGGTCTATTTTTTGGTGCACGGGGCCTGACACGCGGTGTGAGGCTGGCTTCCGCGAGTGCACAGGAATTGTCCTTCCCCTCCCCCAGCTTCCTCTTCCTGCTGCTCCTCCTCCTCCTTCTCCTTTTTGACGTTGCGCGAACTTCGGGCGGCCTCCCGCGCAGTCAGCCGCTGCTGTATGACTGGGCCGGCCGGCTTGCGGCGCGTCTAGCTGCTAATTAGGCCGCTGTCGTGACCCGTAGCGCTCCTGACTCCGCTTGCGCCTTCGCTTGCGGACGCGACCAAAAAAAAACTTCGGGCGGCAGCCTGGAACGTTACCGGGTTGAACAAAAAAAACGACTCTGCGGAGCGAAAGACAACTTCACCTGGCGGGCGCAGGAGGTCCAAGAGAAAAGAAACGATGAGGGCCTTCGAGTATGCGCCCGACAGGCGGCAAGTAGACTACTGCAACGCCTGGTGTTAGTTCGGTACCCCTCTTCCTCCTCCTCCTCCCCCTCCTCTCCCTCCTCCTCCCCTTCCTCCTCCTCCTCCTCGCCCTCCCTCTCCTCCTCCTCCTCCTCCTCCTTCTCCACCTCCTCCCCCTCCTCCTCCTCCTCCTCCTCCTCCTCTTCCTCCTCCTCCTCTCCCTCCTTTTCCCTCTTCTCCTCCTCCTCATCATCATCATCCTTCTCCCCTTCCTCCTCCTCTTCCTCTTCCTCCTCCTTCTTCCGTCCTCCTCCTCCTCCTCGTCCTCCTCCGTTCCCTTTTCTTATGCATGTGTTCACCCTGTCGCACCCCGAGGCCAGTTTTTGTGGCGGGCCAGGCGTTTCGCATGAGACTTGCTCACCATCTATGATTCGGAAGGCTAGAATTTAGTGGCGGGTGGAGGGTTCTCGCCTTAGCGCCGGGCGCATTCGTTTTACATATTTGCAAGAGCTTCACGAATTGAGGGCGGGTGGTTTTCAACATGTGGTTCTCGCCTTACCGCCGCGCGCATTGGTTTTAAACGCTTGCAAGAGTTTCACGGATTGAGGGCGGGTGTTTTTTGAAAATGTGGTTCTCGCCTTAGCGCTGCGCACATTCTTTCTTCATCATTGCAAAAGTTTCGCGGATTCTCATGATCAGCGTATTTACAATGGTGTTTTTGGAAGGATTCAGGATTATGAGGGTGCAACAGTTACGTTGGTTCGCTGTGTTGACGTCTTAGGAATGGTGTTTTGGCACGGTTCAAGATCGCCAAGACGCAACGGTCACGTCGATCCGTGGCGTTGGAATCCCGAGAACATGTGTTGGGCATGTTTCAGGGTCTTCAAACTTCAAGCGGCTGTCTTCCAACGAGGTAGTTCCCTCAGTGGACATGAGCCATTGTAGGGGCCCGTGAAGAGGGAACTTGGACGGAGGGTTTCTTCCAGCATCGCTGATGACGCTTGGGTTTTCCTCCTCCTCCTCCTCCTCGTGGCCCCGTCGTGGCGTCGCCTCCGGCACCCGCCGTGCGCAGCCGCCTCGCAGGTCCTTCCCCTCGGTGGAGGCGCGCGGGGCCGCCGGGCGCGCCTGGCCGCCTCGGGGTCGGCGGCGGGCATCTGGTCGGTCGTTGCTGCCAGGGCTGGACTTGAACGGTGTTTTTGGTGTTTTCGTGCGCCGTTCTCGTTTCGATTTCGTTTTGCGGTAAAGGCGGATTCGAGACAGAAGCGAAGGAAGACGAAAACAAAACGAACACGAAAAACACCGTTTAGGTTCAGCCCTGATTGCTGCAGGTGCTCCTGGCCCAAGGTGTCCCCAGCTGTTCGCTCCATGTGTTTCAAGCAGTGGAGGAGCGCCTTGCTTTCAGAACAGGTGGTGGTCTGCACGAGCTGTTCTTGGAACATCTCTGGTCGAGGCTGCCTTGTGTGGACAGATCGGTTTTCTGGTTCCACGAACAGTGTGTTTGTTATTAGAACGTGTTGGCTGTGCTGAGAGAGTCTCGTGGTAGGCTATATATTTGCCAGGACGGTCGGTCCCTGCTCAAATGTTGGAGCCCCTGGGCCCCTTTGGCCTCGCGAGGGGTGTTCCAGAGGCCCGGGGGGGCTCCTTGGAGAGAGATCCTGGGGGCACCTTGAGCCAGGGGCACTTGTGGCAACACCCGCCAGGGGTACTCACCAAAGTTGCCACTCAGGGCCTCTTTCTGGCATTGCAGCGTTGTCCACATCGGGGAGGGTTGGTTTCGCTGGATCACTGGCCAAAGTGCCCGTCAGTGGAGTCCCTCTTAGAGGGGTGCTGACTGTTTTTCTCCATTTTGGAGGCCCTGGGCCCCCTAGGCCTCGTGAGGGGTGCTCGGGAGGCCGTGGTGGGCCTCCTTGGGCCAGGGGTCTTCACCTCGATCGTCGTCCTCGATCGCCGCCGCCGCCGCCCGGCCGTCGTCCTCGATCGCCGTCCTCGATCGCCGTCCTCGATCGCCGTCCTCGGTCGTCGTCCTCCATCGTCGTCCTCGGCCGTCTCTATCCTCGTCCTGGCGCTGTCCTCTATCGTCGTCCGCGATCGCCGTCCTCGATCGCCGCCCTCGGTCGTCTTGGCGTCGGCGTCCGCACGGAGTGCTCGGTCTCCGCTGGGGCTTGCTCCATCCGGACTTGCCTCTCCTGGTAGGATGCGAAGTACGTTCAGAGTAGGTCCGCACGGAGTGCTCGGCGTGCGTCTGGGCCTACTCCGTCTGGACTTGGCCTCTCTTGATTTCCCCTCGCCTCTCCGCGGCGAGCCCAGGAGGGAAAGCGAGAGGCAGCGGGCCTCCTCGGAAGGCGGGTGGGCTGCTCGCTTGCCCCTCGGCTCGCCGCCGAGCCCTGCTCAATCCGGCCGAATCCCGATTGATCCGCGGCCCAATCCAGCGCAGCAGCTCCCCAATGGGGTTTAGTCCTCCTTGATCCTGCCGACGAAGACCTCCCAGCTGTTGCCTCATAATCTACCCCCGATCGCCCGTTGACCGCTGATGGGAGCCCGATATCGAAGAAAAATGACCGCCATAAACAGAACCTTTGGGCGCTTCGCGCGGATTTCTTGTATCTGCGCTGGACTCCCCCTCCCTGGCGCGCGGAGCGCGCCAAGGGCGGCGCCGCCGGGGGGGGGAGCACGGATCCAAGAAATCCGCGCGAAGCGCCAAAAGGTTATGTTTATGTTTTTTTTGGTTCTTTCTACGATAGCCCATTCCGCCTGGGCACGTCCGTATTTGGTGTCGGGGGCCTATCTCCTATCTGTCGGTGATTCATCAATTATTTGAGGACGGTGTGTTCCTCCCTGAGCCAGTTACCCCCTGACGTTCCCCGCCACCTTGATGGGCTCCTCCCCCTTTTGTTTGTTCAGGCTGCGGGTTGGGCTTCTCCCGAGAAGACGAAGAAGAGCAGGACTCGTAGAATAAGAACAGCTGCGCACACATACACTTGCGAAAGTCCGTGCAGATTCTTTGGGTATGGGCGCAGGAGAGTTGAGTCCAGCGCCGATTTGATAAAACTGCGTAGGCCTACGACAAATACATGTTTCTGCTGTAGCTTTCAACCCCGAAGGACCGTCGGATGGCGGTCCGCCCGCTCGTAGAACTGGAAGACTGATCCTCCTCCTAATCCTCTTTCTTCGCCTCCTCCTCTTCCAGGAGGGGAAGGGGGAGGACGTGGAGGAGGAGGAGGAGGACGGAGGGATGGTGACGATTTGGAATAAAGACGAGGAGGCAGTTGTTTCTGATATTCACTGCGAGAAAGCCCTCAGAACAGACCAACTCAGTCCAGACCACACGGTGAGAGGACGAGGAGGAGGAGGCGGAGGGGGGGGGGTCCCGCTTTCTATTTCTCCCTTCTCCTTCATGTCAGAACAGTTTCACCTGCTTACGGACCAGGCGGCCCTACCCAACTCCCCCACCCCCCACTTACCCCCTTCTCGAGGGGGGTTGGCGGTTTCGAGCCTCCCCGGGAGGGTCCCCGGGGCCGGCTGTTTGTCCCGAGTCGTGTTTGGTCGGTTCCAGGGCCTGGTGAGGGCCCCCAGAGGCTGACAATATCCCCAAGCATCTCTGGCTTGGTTTCAGAAACACTGGTCGGTCTCACGAATCGAGACGATCAAAATGGTCACGGAAAGCATGGGTACACTGACCGGCAGCATCCCTCTTCATTTTTGGACATGGTTCGCTGTCGGTGCCGCCGCGGGCCGTATCCATCTGAGGCAGAAGACCGCCTGCTTGACAGCGGCCGCTGTCGGTTTTGGACAGCGTTTGTCGTTGGACATCGTACCCCAGATTTCGTAATAAAAGGGAGGGGGTCTGGACCCTCCAAGACAGGCCATTTCAGACCTCCCCCGTGGGAGAACCCTCCAAAACATCGTCCCCAGACCCCCCAGGCCCTCCAAGACAGCCTGGAAGAGACCCCCCCCGAAATGAGACCCCCCTCCCTTTATTACGAAATCTGGAGTACCTATTCTTGCCGTATCCATTTCGGGCGTCCAAGGGCGTCCACAACGGAGACTTCCCCAGGATATTGGCCTCTGGTGCGCTCCCGAGGGCCCCGGCGCTCATGTTGAGTCGGGCGTGTCCCTCTACAGGAGGAATCTGCAACAATAGCAAAACAAAAACAGTACGGGGGCGATTTTTCGATGATTGTTTGATCTCTTAAGCATATGTGTGACCATTTTTCATTCTCCCTCCCAAAGTCAGCATGTCAGAGGACATGCCCGACCTAATTAACGCTCGTGCAAGAGCGCCCCCTTTGGGGGGGGGGGGGGGCGCCGCCCGCCCGCACCCACCACCGCCCGGCGGCGAGCCCCCCCCCGCCACCGGGATCCCCGCCCCCGGGGGGTCTCGGGCGCCCCTGCAGCAGCCGCCCCGCCGTGTGCACGGTTACGGTAGGTTTGCGTCGTGTCGACCAGCGGCGACCTCAGCGCGGGCGTTCAAGGTTGAACGCCGCCGGCGACCCGGAATCGATCGATGTTGAACGATCGGACGTTGCGGCAGCGGCCGATCGTTCAAGGTTGAACGATCCCTGCGGTGTCAAAAACCAACGCTGGGGTCGGCACGACACGAACCTGCCGTAGGCTCACGCGGCGTTGGTGGACCTCCACGGCGGCTCCCAGGAAGGCCCAGCCTCTAGGCCTCCCAGGCGGGGTCCGAGCAGATGGGTCGGAGGGTCGCTCTGCATCGCTGGTGCATCGGCGATGCTGCGGCTCGATGCGGAGCCCGATCTCCTCGCGGGCGTCGCCCCTGCATCGCCGACGTCGCCGAGGCATCGCCGATGCATCGACGATGCATCACCGATGTATTGGCGACGCGGCGCGATTCTCCGACCCCACCTACTCCGACCCCATCTGGGAGGCCTTTCATTGTGTACGGTAGGTTCATGCGGCGTTGGTGGAGATCCACAGCGGCTCCTCCTGTGGAGGCCCACCCAAAGCCTTGAAGAACGTTTTTTGTTGTTGTTCTCTCTCTCTCTCTCTCTTCCAATGTTTGAGCACCGCTCGAAGAGTTTGGCCACTCAGACAAAGGGAGAAACCCTGGGATACACCCTCAGGGGGTTGCTTGGACGCACCCCTATCGAGGATGGACGCCCCCCATCGTACATCCCAAGGTTGGGCCCAAACTTTGTGATCTATCCGAACGCTCTACGAGGCCTGGGATACGTTAGATTCATGCGGCGTTTGTGCGCCAGCGACGCCAGTGAAGGCGTTCAATGTTGATTGGAAGTACTGATGGACACGGTAACGCCACTGGCTGGATCCGAAGTCAACCTTGAACAACCGGGACCGCGTTCGATTCGAGTTTGAAGATCGGTGCCGTGTCAAAAAGTTTTGCGCGCGCCGCCGCCGCGCGAACCTACTGCACTTATGCATGGCCACGCCCCCTCTCGAGGAACAAACAACATCATAAGCATAGTCTTTCGACGGTCTTTCGCGGATTTCTCGGATCTGCGCTGGAGCCCCCAAGCGGCGCCTCCCGCGCCGCCCCTGGCGCGCTCCGCGCGCCACGGAGGGGGGGCCAGCGCCGATCCAGGAAACCTGCGCGGACCTCGGAAGCCTCATGTTTCTGCGGCCTGTGCTTTACAGGCAACCCGTATAGTGAGGGTGAGCAGTTTTTTTCCGAGTTACCTTTGCATCCTGCCCCTTCGGCCCATTCTTGGCCGCTGTCGCTGGCCGCGCACCGCTCGCGAGGTGCCGACGTGGCCTTCCAAGGCCCTTGCATGCTTATGCTTATCGTGCGTCCTCATTCTACGGGTTGACTGTAGGTGCTCTTGCGGTCCCGTGCGGCTGGGGTCGAAGTGGCCCAGTGCGAATGGCCGGGGGCCGCCAGAGACGGGAGCGCCCAGACCGCATCTTGCGCCAATCGCATCTTTGTGCTGTTCTAGCCGTAGACAGACAGGGACGAGGAGGAGGAGGATGAGGAGGACGAGGGCCAACCAGTGTTTAACCAAGGCTCATCAACGATGTTGGAATACACCCTCCCTCCAGGCTACCTCTTCATTGGCCCCTACAAGGGTTCATGTCCACTGAGGGCAGTGCCCCGTTGGGGGACAACCGAGTGAAAATCCTGAAGCATGCCAAGACACCATTCACAGGACTTCAACGCCACGATTCAACATTACTGGTGCGTCTCGACGATCCTGAATCGTTTCAGATCGCCGTCCCTGGGACTTCACAACAGTGAATCAACCGAACTGTTGCGCCCTGACAATCTTCAATCGCTCCAAACACCATTTCTGGGACGTCAACCATGGGAATCAATGAACATGTCTGTAAACTTCTGAAAAGAATGTGCGCGGCGCTAGGGCGAGAACCGCACTTTGAATATGAACCGTCCTCAATCCGGGAAGCTTCGTGCAAATGTTAAACATGAATGTGCGCGGCGCTGATGCGAGAGCCAGATTTTGCAAAGGAACCTCCCTCATCCGGCAAAGTCTTTGTAAATTGCATAACGAATGTGCGCGGCGCTGAGGCGCGAGCCACATTTTGAAAACGGCCGGCCCTCAACCCGTGAAGCTCTTGAAAATGTGTAAATCGCATGCACGCCACGCTAAGGCGAGAGCTGCATGTTGACAGCCATCCACCCTCAATCCGTGAAGCTCTTGCAAGTGTCTAAAACGAGTGTAAGGCGAGAGCCACATGTTGGAAGCGACCCCCCCTCCCCTTGTGAAGCTGTTACCAGTCTTGATGCTTCAGGCTCACAAGTGGTAAGGACGTCTCATGCGAAACGCCCAGCCCGCCCTTCCGACTGGATTCGCGTTGCGACAGGGAGGAGTTATCCATAAGAAAAAAGAATCGAGGAGGAAGACGAATCATGACTGTATTCTAGCCCTCGAGAAGGACGAGGAGGGCGAGGGTGACGAGTACGAGAAGGAGGAGGAGAAGGAGGAGGAGGAGGAGGAGGAGGAGTAAGGAGGGGGAGTAGGAGCCCTCCCTCCTTGCCCTGCTGCGAGGCTCCTCCTCCCTCTTCGCTGGGACCTGTAGGACCCGTGGGGGCTGTGGGGCCTGTGAGACCTGCGAGGCCTGTGGGGACCCATAGGATTCCTGTGGGATCCTTGAGACGTGCGACACCTCTGGGACTTGCGGGGCCTGCGGGACATGTTGGGCACGCGCGACCTGCGACGCATGCGGGATTTGTGGAACCTGCTTGACGGGTGGGACCTGTGACACCTGTGGGGCGACCTGGGACGCTTGTGGGTCCTGTTGGACCCGTGGGACCTGCGGTGCCTCCGAGACCTCGCCAAACCCGTGGGGTCCAGAAAAATTGGTCCACGCTGGGGCGGGAGCGCCTTTTTTTAAACAACGGAAGCACAGCGCCGATCCGAGCATGAGGGGCCCGCTGCAGCGAGCACCTTTGGTGAACAACTGTAACACACGGATGGTAACAAACAGTATGGAAAACCTGTTCACGCAAAGCTACGGTGCAATAGGCACGGCTCGGAGGGATCGAATAATGAAACACGTCAGAAAACATATCTCGTGCACACTATGTGCAGAAAGCAGGACGTGGACGGGGGGGTAGCCCTTTGTTCGGACATCTTCTGGAGAGAGAGGGGAGTCGTTGAGTAAGAATTGAGAGTAGGAGGGGAGGACGGGATAGGAGGAGAGAGGAGGACGACGATAATGAGGAGGAGTAAGAGGAAGAAGAGGACGAGGATGAGGAGGAGGAGGAGGAGGAGGAGGAGGAGGACGAGGACGAGGACGAGGACACGCCACATGTAAAGCGAGGGCGCTTACGCGCGACCTTACGCGGGCAGCTGACGCGCCAAGGTCGGTGAAGACGACACCGTTTTTCTGTGTCGCTCACGTGGGTCCAAACGTTGTAGTAAAAAAATAGCCTGGCGAAGGACCCAACCATATGCAGTTGTGGATATCGCATCCGGGGGAGCCCCGTATGGGGCCACGAAACGCTGTACTGGGTGGGGGGGACGCATGCGAACTGCGCCACTGGGACCTTCGGTGGAGCTCCCTATGGGGCCACGAAACGCTGCCCTGGGTGGGGGGGGGACGCATGCGAACTGCGCCACTGGGGCCTTCGGTGGAGCTCCCTATGGGGCCACGAAGCGCAGCCCTGGGTGATGGAACCGCATGCGGGCTGTGCCATGGGACTTCGGTGGCGCTCCCTATTGGGCTACGAGACGCTGCCCTGGGTGGGGGAACCGCATGCGGGCTGTGCCACTGGGACCTTCGGTGGAGCTCCCTATGGGGCCAGGGGGAACCGCATGCGGGCTGTGCCACTGGAACCTTCGGTGGAGCTCCCTATGGGGGTACGAAACGCTGCCCTGGGCGGGGGAACCGCATGCGGGCTGCTCCACTGGGACCTTCGGTGGAGCTTCCCGGGGCCACGAAACGCTGCTTTGGGTAACCGCATGCGGACTGCGCCAGTGGGACCTGCGGTGGAGCTCCTATGGGGCACGAACCGCTGGGGTGGGGAAACCGCATGCGGGCTGTGCACTGTGACCTTCGGTGGAGCTCCCTATGGGGCCACGAAACGCTGCCCTGGGTGGGGGAACCGCATGTGGAACCCCCACTGGGGCCTTCGGTGGAGCTCCTATGGGGCTACGAATCGCTGCCCTGGGCGGGGGAACCGCATGCGGGGGGCCTTCGGTGGAGCTCCCTATGGGGCTACGAAACGCTGCCCTGGGTGGGGGAACCCCATGCGGGCTGTGCCACTGGGACTTCGGTGGAGCTCCCTATGGGGCCACGAAGCGCTGCCCTGGGTAGGGGAACCGCATGCGGGCTGTGCCACTGGGACCTTCGGTGGAGCTCCCTATGGGGCTACGAAACGTGTGAGGGGTTTGCCGAGAGCAGAGGCAAGGAGGGGGAGGAGGGAGGAGGGCGAGGCGGGGGAGGAGGAGGAGAGGAGGTGGGACGCGGGGCGCTGTCTCTTCAAAACGAGGACCCAACACCACAGGATGGTTGGGAAGTCCCGCTGGAGCCAATGATCGCGCGTGCCTGAGCTGCCCAAGATCGCAAAGCTCACGCCCCGCTCGCCCTGCCAGTGCCGCTCATCCCCCTGCCCCGCCCCCCTGCTCCTCTCTCCTGCTCCCTCCTCCTCCCTCCACCATTTCCCTTCCTTCCCCTCTTTTTTTTTTGCGTTGAGCAAGCGTGGCGCGCGAGGCACGCCGCGTTCTGTGATGCGACTAGGCCAAACATGGATGCCCGAATTGGCGACGTCCACCTAGCATGCGCCGCGGAGAATAAAGGAAGAAGAGCGCGGCGAAGAGTACAAGACTGAGTAGGCGCCTGCCAGGTGGTAGTACTCGGCTGTCCCTCCCCCCCCTCCTTCTCCTCATTCAAGCAGTGACGAAGCGTCCTGGCGTGCCTTTTTTCCTACCAAACAGTGTTCTAAGAACCTTTTGTGGTTCCCACGAACTGTTCTGAGAACATTTCTGCCTGGGACTGTCTTGTTTGAACGCATCGGGCTTATGTTCTAAGAACCTTGTTTTTGTTATTCGACGACTTTTGGGTTCCAAGAACATTTCGTGATAGGACTACAGGAATGCCGGGACGGTCGGTCCCTGCTCAATTCATCCTCTTCCTCCTGTCCCCCCCCCCTCCCCCCCTCCAGCCCGAGGCGCTCTGAGGCCCAACGCCGCGACCCTCCCCTACTCAGCTATCCCTCCCCCCTCCTTCTCCCTCATCCTCTTCCTCCTGTCCCCCCCTCCCCCCCTCCAGCCCGAGGCGCTCTGAGGCCCAGCGCCGCGACCCTCCCCCCCCCGCCCTTGTCCTCCCTCCTGCTCCTCGTCCTCTTCCTCCTGTCCCCCCTCTCCCCCCCCTCCAGCCCGAGGCGCTCTGAGGCCCAGCGCCGCGACCCTCCCCCCCCCCCGCCCTTGTCGGCCGCGGCGGCGGCCCCTCCAACCCCCGCGAGGGACGGCGGCCTGCAGAGGGCCGCCCCTGCACCACCGGGGGGGGGGAAGGGCAGGGAAGGGAAAGGCAGGCATGGGGGGGGAGGGGGGGGGAGTTGGAGGAGGAGGAGGAGGAGGAGCAGGAGGAGGAGGAGGAGGAGGAGGAGGAGGAGGAGGAGGAGGAGGAGTGGAGGAGGAATGGGGGAGGAATGAAGGAGGAATGGGGGAGGACTGAAGGAGGAATGGAGGAGGAATGAAGGAGGAATGGAGGAGGGGAAGGGGACGAGGGAGGGGAGGGAGACGAGGGAGACGATGGAGAAGAGGGAGAAGGGGAGGGAGAAGACAAGGAAAAGGGAGAGTAGTAGAGTAGCCGTAATCGTAGTTGTAGTAGTCGGAGTAGTCGGAGTAGTCGTCGTCGTCGTCGTCGTCGTCGTCGTCGTCGCAGTAGTAGTACTAGTAGTAGTAGTAGTAGTAGTAGTAGTAGTAGTAGTAGTAGTAGTAGTAGTAGTAGTAGTAGTAGTAGTAGAAGTAGTAGTAGTAGTAGTAGTAGTAGTAGTAGTAGTAGTAGTAGTAGT